AATAAAAGAATCAAAATTGAAATTTGCATCAAGTTTAATTTAAAATACAAAAAGTTGAAAGCTTTATACAAAAATATATTTTGTAATGCGGTTTTCGTAATTTACCAAGTTGAAATCAAACCGAAGCTACAGGGTAGGAATTTGCATGTGTTTGCACAAGCTAATTTTGCACCCAAAAAGGTAGAATGATTTTGATAAATCACTTTACTGGGTTTTGTGAGGTGTTGATATCACCGAGAAAAAAGTTGATTTTGCTGGAAACTCGCTCAAATTCTTTGGGTTTCCTTCTAAATCCCTAATTTTACTGTTCTTTTCTAATTAAATAACATATTTTTCCCATTTTTACTAATTTTTCAGACTCGCAAATTTAACGTAGGAACTTGCAAACTATAAGCTGATGCGAAGCTTCTTTTTGGTGAATCAAGAATTTGCCTAATCGAGAAAGAGTAGGAAGGGAACAGAACAACAAAGTTTGTGGCTTTTGCTTACGAGCCTGACTTTTCTCATTGAATTGGAGTTTGGAGTGTTTTCGTTGGTTGTGAGATGGGCAAGGTTGCGGTGGGAGCGGCGGTGGTGTGCGCAGCTGCGGTTTGCGCGGCAGCGGCGCTAGTGGTGCGCCACCGGATGAGAAACTCCGGGAAGTGGGCTCGAGCAATGGTCATTCTGCGGGAGTTCGAGGAAAAGTGTGGAACTCCTATCGGGAAACTGAGGCAAGTTGCTGATGCCATGGCCGTCGAGATGCACGCTGGCCTCGCATCGGAAGGTGGTAGCAAGCTCAAGATGCTGATTAGCTACGTCGATAATCTCCCCACCGGGTACTGTAAATTATGTTTTATTCGGTTACCTTTTCGATTTCCTAATGAATATTATTAGATCTATTTGTTCGGCTGTTGCGTCTGTTACTGGTGTTTTGTTTGAGATGTTTTATGATAATGAAGCCTCTTAAAAGTTCCCACCTTTGGTGTATGGTTCGTATGCTGATCTTGATTTAAATGTTTCGCTGTGAACTTATTGTTTTTTGAGCTCATGCAAAGGCTTAAAAGACGACGAAACATTTTTTTTTCTAGTTGTTTTGTTTGTATTTCAGGTTCATTTTGTGATCTCGAGAGTTCGAAGTTTGTAAATTTTATATTTAGTATTGTGGAGTTCTTTCCTAGATCTATCTTGAAGTTTTAATATAATATTCATGGTGATCTCCTTATCAATTATTGGTCTGTCGAGTTTACATCAATTCTTTCATTTTGTTACTATGACCTCTATGGATGGTACTTTTAGTTTATGCAATTATTCTGTTGTAAGAGACAATAGTTTATGAACTTGTTCTATCTTTCATCCTATTGTTATTTTTATTTTTGAAGTTGTTTTAGATCTCAATTGGTTTCACCCTTTTAAAGTAATCTCAGTTGAATCCTTTTACTCCGAATAGCAGTTGGATATCTACACTTCAAATTCAAATGGGCAGTTATTGATTCAAGAAATTTTAAGAGTAGTTCCAATTTAATTTTACATGGCATATTCCTCCATGGTTGATGTCTTTTAAAATGACAGTTTGTTTTCCTCATAAATTTAGAGATGAAAAAGGGCTCTTCTACGCATTGGATCTTGGCGGTACAAATTTTCGAGTGTTGCGTGTGCAGTTGGGAGGGAGAGACAATCGAGTTGTTAAGCAAGAATTTGAGGAGGTTTCGATACCTCCACACTTGATGACTGGATCTTCAGAAGTTAGTATTTTCCTCTCAAATTTATAGTCTGGATTTCCTTAGGATGGAGCATATGCTGAAGTATCTGGTGCTGATTCTGTCAGGCACTATTTGATTTTATAGCTCAAGCTCTTGCAAAATTTGTTGCTGAAGAGGGTGAAGGCTTTCACCCAGCACCGGGAAGGCAAAGGGAACTTGGTTTTACTTTCTCCTTCCCTGTGAGACAAACATCAATATCATCAGGGACACTTATTAAATGGACAAAAGGCTTCAACATTGAAGACACGGTTAATCCTAACTACTTGAGTTCTATTATCGTTCTTTATGTTGATTGTTAACCATTTTTGTTTATGTAATATTGTTGTTTCATCATTTTCCAGATTAAAATGGCATTAAAACCATACAGAAGATTTCCATTATCATTTTAAAGAACATTTGATTAGTTTCATTAGGGGTTTTTTTCTTTTGTGTTGAATATGCATTATGTTATCTGGCAGAATGATACTCTTGTCCATGGTATGGAATTATTTGCTACCCAGTTCTTTGGGATGAGGAAAGATAAACAGATTGTGCCCGCATTGCAATGCTAGGTTTGGTCAAAAGACACCCATTCTTCGTTAGCAACGATGTGTCATGCTGGCAACATAGTTTTATTATTAAATAATCTATTATTTCCATTGAAATTAAATGCAGACTTATTAGTTTGTTTTTAAGGGGTTGTGATAGGGCCAGGGATTTAGAATCGATATTCCAGAGAAGTTAATTGACATTTTATCTTGACCATTCATTGATTGAATGATTCAATGGATACGAGTAAATGATCCTTATTAAAGTGTATGAAACCTTCATATATTTCACAAGGAGTTTGCTATGCTATGTACCGTGAAATTTTGCTTTTACTAATTAAAATTTTCTGTGAAGTTGACATTCAGTTGTGTGTTGTGTCTTGACTGTTACCATTTCAGGTTGGGGAAGATGTGGTGGGTGAATTAACCAAAGCCATGGAAAGACTGAAACTTGACATGCGTGTAACAGCTTTGGTAATTCCCATTGTTGATTGTTCAACTTGAAGTTTTTGTTTTTGTTTTTCTTCCCCTTTTCCTTTTTCCTTTGCTAATGCTTGATATACAATTTTGCAATACAATTGTATAATTTTATATTTCTGGGGTTGGGGGGTGGGTGGGTGTATGCATTGTTTTGTGCTGACTTTGTCCTTCTTGAGATATAGGTAAATGACACAATTGGAACGTTAGCGGGAGGTAGATACTATAATAACGATGTAATTGCTGCTGTGATTTTGGGTACTGGGACAAATGCAGCTTATGTAGAGCGAGTCCACGCTATTCCTAAGTGGCATGGTCTCCTTCCTAAATCAGGAGAAATGGTTAGTGGCTTGTGAGATTTGTTGTTTGTTCTTTGACAAGCTAGTGTTCTTCTATACTTCTCCTGCACTCTCCCTTCAATTTTCTTTGATCATTAAAGTTATACAATCTATGTTGGGTGCCTGACTTTGTCGATGTAATAATACCTGGGATATCATGTACTAATGCAGGTAATTAACATGGAATGGGGCAACTTCCGGTCCTCGCATCTGCCACTAACAGAATATGATCACGCATTGGATGTTGAGAGTTTGAACCCTGGAGAACAGGTAAAATCATTTCTTAATACACTCTTCATCTCAACTCACTAGAACTAGAAGAAATGGTTTTATTAATATTCATTGAATAATTCTCTCCACTACTACTTTCAGATTTTCGAAAAGATGATTTCTGGTATGTACTTGGGAGAAATTGTACGGAGAGTATTGTTCAAGATGGCTGACGAAGCAGCTCTCTTTGGCGATACGGTTCCACCCAAACTCAAAATTCCATTTATATTGAGGTATACCCTATCTTATCTGGGTCATTTGTGAGCACATGCACTCCAATATCCATGATGATATTTCCTTGAAAACCCCTTGGCTGATTTTGGAGTTCACATTCTGTAATGTAATGACATTCCAAATCTGAAACCATTATTATTGCTAGTTTATATGTTGGCTGGAACTTGCATTCATATACTGATCAATAGATACCGACCTGCCATCCTCTCTGTTTCTGGCTGATGATGGATCGAAAACTAATTCTTTAAACCAATTTTTTCCCTTATTTATGGTTAAAAACTGTATTATGGTCTTTAAAGTTTGGCTTGTATTGACATACTTGGCTTGTATGTGCAGCAAGCTCAAATTTTAGGAACTACACATATTTGTATCGAGTATGGTCGTCATCAACTTTTCCTTATAAAAAATGTGCATGTCTTTTCTTCCTGTGAAGCGTTAACTTCGTATTCGAATGGACTGCTTAGATAATTATCCTATAGTGCCATTTTAGTTCAATTTCAAAATTCACTTTCCACTTGCAAATGTAACTTTTAGTTGCTCCAAAAATATCCAGGACACCTCACATGTCTGCCATGCATCACGACACATCTCCGGACCTCAAAATTGTTGGCAGCAAACTGAAGGATATCTTAGAGGTGAGACATCATTCACCCAGAAAATCTGTGACCTCAAATGATCTCTTTGCTTGTAATGAACTTAATTATGCTATTTCATAATCTTTAAACAGGAGGACATTATAGAAATGAACTCCGTAGGTATAGATTACTCACTCTTAATCTTCTGCTTTACTGCCAGATATCTAATACCTCCCTGAAAACAAGAAAAATAATAGTGGAACTTTGTGACATTGTTGCCACACGGGGTGCGCGTCTGTCTGCTGCTGGTATCTTTGGAATTCTGAAGAAACTGGGGAGAGATACAGTCCGGGAGGAGAAGCAGAAGTCTGTCGTAGCACTGGATGGAGGGTTGTTCGAGCACTACACTAAATTCAGAACCGCAATGGAGAGTACGCTGAATGAGCTACTCGGTGACGATGTTGCTGGAAATATTGTCATCGAGCATTCAAATGATGGCTCGGGCATTGGAGCTGCACTGCTTGCAGCCTCGCACTCTCAATATCTTGAGGTAGACTCCCAATATCTCGAGGTAGACGAGTCCTGAGGGGAAGGTGGGTCAAAATTGGAGATAGTAATTTACGGAGAGGCAGAAGCTTTAGATTTTTTGTTGTTGAATTTTCTGCTCTCCTTTGCAGAATATCACTCTCTGGTGCCTTCTCTCCCCATCCTTTATTTATGGTTATTGAGAGCATACGAAATTAAGTAAAGTTTTTGGTCGGATTAACCGTTAAAAGTAGCCAATAAAAGAAGAGATGGGGGGGGTCTCCAAGGATCAATTTTACATATTATCAGGCATAAGCATAAGCTATGTGTTTGTACTTCTATTGAATTTGGGTGTTGTAATCAAAACATCCAACTGTCTTTTGCATATTATCTTTTCATACAAAGGTAAAGCTTAAGGGCTTTAAAGAATCGTTTTTATAGCCAATCTTACATAGTTCAACAATCGTGAGTTTGAAATACCACCCTCACATGTCGTTGAGCTTTACAAAAAAACTGTTCTCGTTAGAAAGTATTTATGATATGTTAACCAGTGATAAGTTGGAGTTGATGAGTTGGTCTTAACGATTTAATTTTTATACTTTCAAAATAGTAAAAATCGTTAATTTTTATACTTTCAAAATAGTAAAAATTTAGTTTTATACTTTCAAAATGGTAAAAATTTAGTTCATAAGCATTAGTATCCAATTTAAAGATTGAATAAGATTTCTTAGATGTGTAAATAATTGTTATATTATAAAAATTAATACTATAATAGAGGCTAAATGTGTTTCTCAACTAGTTTTTTCTTTGCTAAAATCCCACTTGATTTTTTTATTTGTTGTACAATTTACGTTCTAATAAAATCAATTGAAAATACCTTTTACCTCATTAAGCAACGGCGAAGATGTTCGAACAAATCTAACCAACTAAAACCAGAGAGTTGAGCTTAGAATGATCAAAGATTAAAATGAAATCATAACAACCTTAAACCAATCTGATGGGAGAGAATTGAGAGAGAAGTTATGGGTCTTGAGAAGTGACTGAAAACTCGAAAGAAATAATAATAACTGAACGAAAACCTTTTCAGTGAGCAGAAATATATAAAGGCTTATCAACTGAAGCAATAGTAGTAAACAGAATTTCCCAAGCAACTGAACGCAATCTCACATGGAAAGCCTTCACAAGTTGGTTATTTGCAACTGTACGAACAACAAAATGGCCACAAAACAACCACAATTTACAGCCAAATAGACCACAAACGGCGGCACATTCAAGAAGATGCGGCGGCGGAAGATTGAAGCGAGACGTCGTTGAGGCGCTCCAGGGATAAGATGAGCGCTTGAGTGCCCAAATTCCCTTCCCCATGAGCCTTAAGCGACAGATAAAGCTGCTGAGCCAATGCCAATCCCGGAAGAGCAATCCCCATATTCTGACACTCCTTCAGGCAGATTCCCAGATCCTTCACAAAGTGGTTTACGAAGAACCCAGCTTCGAAATCCCTCTTCAATATCCTGCTCCCGTACAGATCCAGCGATTTCGACCCCGCAGCGCCCGTTGAAATGGCGTTCAAGAACAAACCCACATCCAGACCCGCTTTGTGCGCATAAATCATCCCCTCCACCAGCCCCACCATCGTCGAAGCTATGGTGATCTGATTCGCCAGCTTCGCGAACTGCCCTTTCCCGCTCTCTCCCATGTAATTCACCTTCCCCAACAGGGCAAACAACGGATTCAGCCGCCGGACTTGACCCTCGTCGCCGCCGGCGAAGATTGCCAGCGTGGCGTTCTTGGCGCCGCGATCGCCGCCGGAGACTGGAGCGTCGATTGCCCCGCAGCCCTTGGCGGCGGCGGCGGCGGCGATTTCGGATGCGAGGGAAGGCTCGGAAGTGGTCATGTCGACGAGGATGCCGCCGGGGCGGAGGCCGGCGAGGGCGCCGGAGGTGGGGTCGAGGAGAACGGAGCGGACGTCGGAGGGGTAGCCGACGATGGAGAAGACGACGTCGGATTGGGCGGCGACGGCGAGTGGGGAGGAGGCCAAATCGGCGCCCAGATCGAGGAGGGGCTGGGCTTTGGAAATTGTGCGGTTGAAGACGGTGAGTTTGAAGCCGGCTCTGATGAGATGGGAGCACATGGAGCAGCCCATGACGCCGGTGCCGATCCAGCCGACGCGGGTGGTTGAGGGGCTGAGGATGTCGCCGGAAGTGGCCATCGTGCGGCGGAGGAGAGAGACCAATTGAACGGATAGGGTGAGGGAATGAGCGTGTAGCGAGCGAAGAGAGATTTGCAGTGGCATCCCTTTTCTATTCTATTTGAAGATTTTTTTTCCCCCTTTTCTTCCATTTTTGGGTCAATTTGGAGAGATTGAACATTGTATTTTAGTTTTGCCTATTTATTCTTGTTCATATATCAGCAATCTTTTTAGGTTAGCTTTGCTCTCATACCCAAGTGAACATTTCAAACACTTGCATCCACTTTTTTATCCCATACCTTTAACAATTCTTTCTTCAAACAAAGATCATCGAGCCTCATTCCCTAACATGAAACAAGGACAAGATTCAAAGAATGAGAGGTTACACCTTGCAAGGTTTAGAAGGTAAAGGATTTCAGACATCTAAGATCAATCGATCTACACTTCCATGTCGAGCCTTTTGTAAGGTATATTTTGCAACACACCTCCATTTTTGGATAAACCCAAGTTTTTTACACTTGAAGATTTTCATACTTAGAACTCTCTCATTGTTTATAATGGGGTTGCCACACACATCACTCTAAGAGGGAAAAATCAGTCAGTTCCACCTGAACACAGTACACCTAGATTACGAAATACTTAAAACGAAATCAGTCATAAATTAGAATGTGAAACCTTAGAACTCATGGACACAAGTTTTTTACAGCAGAAATTTGGGAAGAACGATGATGACCTATTAGACACATAACTTTAAGTGAGAGATGAGAAGAATGATGATGGATTTCGATTCTGAAACCCTTCTTACAGCAGAAATTTGGGATAGAATTGAAGGACAAAATTATACAACCTATAGAATAGATCCCTGTTCAAGAACGAGGATGTGAAACCTGAAAATTCATTCAGTGAAGAAGATCCAAGGAACAGTTGGAACTAGGATGAAATTTGAAGGTGAACAGTCAATGTGAAAGGCAACGGTCAATGTAATGCAGGAAAAATTCAGCATATATATCAACCCAATAAGAAGGTAATGACATTTCCTCTTCCTGGAATGCAAGTAGAATAATTAATCTGAATGCATTTTCAATGACAGGCAATAAACACCTTTCAAATTCTTAAATATGTATTACTGAACCCACGGTGATCAGAATGTTTAGTACCTTCCAAGAGCCATGGTGAAGACCCTAAAATGCAATAGAACTAGCACAGCTTGTTTCTTGCACAAAAACCAGAAATTAGATTAATGTTGCAAACTAACTGAAGCATAGGATGCATGCTCAACAACACCGACAGCAGACCAGCCCACCAATATGCAAACTATAACATTGGATGGGACCCGAAACATGTTAACGCCAACTTAATGCTAGAAAATGAAGGAAGCGAAAAAACTATTATATGCAGAGTATGAATATAATGCTAGATATTGACAGTATAACCCAAACAATCAGAAATCAATAATAATTATGCTGAACTTCTCAATCATCCATACACCATGACCACCTAGAGAGGGAGCAACATAAAATGTGAATTTTGCAAAGGCAAGCATTCCAGAATTCAGAGGAAAATAATCAAGCAGGATTAATATAAGGTAAGGACGCCTTTAGGTGGGAAAACTATTGTCTTTATCAAACTAAAACAAATAAAAAGAAAGCACATGCAATAAACATCAGAAGTATCTGCACTTGGATAACTCATTGATACCAAATGAAAATGGCTCTATCCTAATAAATGAGGAAAGAAAACCTCAGGAACAGGAATATTTTAACTATGGAGCAGGATATTTGCTGCTTTTTCTTTTATTGGGTACGCAGTGCACATCCTTTATTGTCACCTCAACCTTCAGAGCCAACTAATTGCCATGAGTAAAAAAAATGCAGATTTTCCAACTGCACCTCAAACTTCAAAGCCAAGCGCCATTGCCAGTAAAAGGTCGAGATATAGAAATTGAACGTGAACCAAAGGAGCCTACCAACCAAAATCTATTTATAATCATGTCTAGAAAACATACGAACCAAATCCAAAAAGAGATGATATTTACAGCAGCCGATAATGTTAATAATATAACCTGAACTTATTGTACAATTCAGTATAATCTGAATGATAATTTGATTACTTTGGAACAATGTCAGTCGATTGCACGATAATCATTGAATAAGAACTAACCTATAACACAGGCCATACATTCTAAGATTGAATCCACTGTCCTTTTATCTCAAAATGCCAGCAGCTTATAACAAGCCTTAAAACCGAAAAAAAAAAAAACTTATTTGTACTCAAAATTTGGCACAGGCGGTGCATCGAAGCTCTCCAAAATCGTAGTCTCGCTTCCTCCACTCGACACTTCAGATTCCTTCTTCTTGCCTCCACCAACCCAACCACCGAACCACGAACCATTACGAGAATCTGAAGAAGACGAAGAAGAAGAAGAAGAAGAAGAAGAAGAAGAAATATTTGCCAACTCTGTTTGTGGTAGAGACAGGGGAGGACCTCGTCCTGGCAATTGACCCGTAGGATACCCAGGCACACCGCCCATACCAGCAGGCTCCTCAATTACAACAGGCATATTCTGTTGCTGGCTAAGAACTTTGTTGAGCATAATCCCAGCTCCTTCAATCAAAGCCAATAAAACGCCTCCGAACAGAGCCGAGCGAGCTGCCGATGCAGGACCCTGACGCATCTGGAGAAACCCGCCAGTAGCTGCGCCGGCGATAATCGAGTTCCATGGATCCTCCTTCTGGCGGACGTAGACCATGGTGCAATCGAAAGCAGAGAATAAGCCGCCCCAAACGGCGAAACTTCCGCCGACGCGCGGCGCATTCATCCGGACGGCTTGCGAGCCGCCGATAATCCTGGATCCCTTGGGAGAGTTGTACAGACCTTTGATAAAGTGAAAAGCTGAGCCACCGACGGCTCCCATACCGAAGGCGCCGCCGATATCGTCGAGGATGCGATCGGGGCAAGGTTCCCTAGAAGTTTCCGGCGTTCCCATGGCGTCGATCCGATCACTCTAGGGTTTTTCTTTTTCTGTCCTCTGCGTTTAGTTGCCACCGCCAAACTCAGAGGTAGGTTTTTGCAGAGGGGAATTTAAGAGCCTTGGGTTTTAACTATATATATATATAACTTCATTTAAGATTTTTCTTTTGGTATAAATAATTAATTATTTATTTGAAAGTTTTTTCCTTTTCCTTTTGGGAAATGATTGATTAATTAAAACGTTAAAACTTATTAGGTTTAAAATAACTAAAAATATTATTATTTTTTTAAAAATATAATGCTATTTGATAGAATAGATATTCATAAAACCAATTAAATTCACCTATTCGTTGTACTAAAAAACCTATAGTTTTATTTATAAATTTAAGAAACTAAGTTCGTAGGAGTTATGACTTTTATTATTAAATAGAGCAAGTTATTATTTTTAAAAAGTTCATAGTTTCTTTCTTTTATTTTTTTTTTCCGATATGACATTAATTTATTGGCAAAAAACCTTACGTTATAAAAAATGAAAGAAAAAGAATTTGTCCCATATGGGTTTCAGAAACATTCAAACCAGACCACACAATTTGATTATCTATTGAATTGGCCACAAACCTGATCTATTCAATCAGGAAACAGTCCATCATAGAAGCAATTACTAAACAATGCAAATTAGAAACTTCAAGATTCCAGTTCAAAAAATAACATCAAACAAGGCTACTATGAAAATTCTCTCCCCTTTCAATCAGAACATCCAACACTAAAATGAAAAGTCCAAGAGTTCAAACTAAAAAGAAAAACTGAACTAAATTGTACAGTATATAAATGTTACAAATTCGCATATATCTTCCCCGAAATGACACTTTGAGCTCGAGATCTCGAATATAAACACATCCTCTAAGTCATTAGTTGGGTGTTACAGCCTCAGATCTCCAATGCAGAAGTCTTCAATCACATCGAAGACTCTAGTACCGTGTTGTGGTCTGCACAAAAAGTATTTGAGGTTCAAATTAACATGTTCAAAAGATTAATTTTCGTTCACATTATCAGAACCAAAACAGAGAATAATTGTTTCCTGGCGCTTAAACATGCCAAGAATTTTCCCCTTGGAACAAGTCTAAGCCAAAAGAATCCAATGCAAAAAGATACCATTCCCCTCCTCCTAAACCATGCAAATAAACCCCTCCCAACACGACCTATGGCCATCCACAGTCATATTACGAAATTGGGGTCGAGAAGGCAACACACTCCCACACGAACTAAACTACTTTTCGGCGATTTTCCTCCATTTCTTCTTACACGCGTACGTAAAGCGTACCCAGTCTTCTCCTCTATAATTGTGATGATGGAATCTAATAATATAGCTCGTATAGAAGGAAGATGAGAGGTAAAATGTGAAGTAAAACCAACATTATACAGATTACTGACAGATTTTTACCTGAGATCTTTGGGGTGTTACTTGGATGAGGATCTTATATGCCGCTGTTCCAAGTTCTATCTATTCACATCCTTGATCTTGTAGCCTAGTGTAAATATGTATAATGAGGGTATAACGGGCCACACTCTTTGCATTATGCTCATGGGGCCACCCCTCTAATCCCGAAGGAGATCTTGCCCACCCAAGTCCTCACCCGAGGGACAACATCCAATTAAGATTATTTGGACAGATCAAATTATATGATCCAACATCCAATACAGCTTATAGCATCCTAAAAATGTATGAGAGAGGGCTTTACCCGTAAAACCCTTTGGTGGCATCATCCCCAGCATGTGCTAGGATGGCATCTCCTCCCGGATGTTCATCTACATAGGAGGAAACATCATACACCTATGCATGAAGAAAACCGAAAATATAGATTATAAGTACGACAATATACAAGCAAATTCCAACTTTTGCAAAGAGCTTGGACATCAAACCAGAAAGAGAGAAGATTATACCTTGTTCTTGATAATAATCCAACAATCTGTCCTCTTGTTATGAACCGAGACCTCAGCTTTATTGTAGACTTTTGACGGCTAAAAGCAAGAAATGACATTTAGGATATAATATACAATGAAAAGAATACTCCTACCGATATAGAAAGATTGACACGGATTCTTTAATTTAACAAAAATAAGGTCTATCACCAAACTGTACATCATTAACAGACCAGCTTTACAATGCTAGAACTCAGTAATCCAATCAATAATGGGAAAGGTATCCATAAGATAGTTAATAATTTTTGTAGGTACTTCACCCATTTGAGTATTAAATGTGGGAGTACAACACTATTCGTATGATGAATGAAGACATAAATTACGATAGTTTCACTAAATCTCTTATATACTACTGTTTTCATTTCTGTTTCTAAATTTTAGGAAAGTGATGAAAGCAGTGCTGAAAATATCCCGTGCATAGCCATTTTTGATAATCCTAATCAATATCAACATTCGAAGCCACAGAACATCGTCACCCCAAGTAACAAGAAATTGGACAGTAAAAGAGAACCATAATTGAAAACACTTAGACCATCAAATTTGCCTTTGAGAGAAGGTCGAATAGTTTGGACACGAAACTTTTGAAGACTACAATCAAATTTTTAATAGGATCCAATAGCAAATGAATACATTCTTCATTGTTGGAGTCTGGAAAAAGAAAATTGGAAAAGCCATGGTAATTTTCTTGTACTATTGAAGCTGAATTACATTGATGTCTCAGCTTCTCAGCGACCAAAGGGAAGCTCGTTTATAAAATTAAAACTAAAAGATAACTAAGTCTTCAAATCTTCAGTAAAAAGAGTAAAAAATCTCAGTATCAAAAGTACCTTATTTGATTTTAATTGAACCTCTTGTACATTTCCTGCATCCAGAATAATATAACAGCACGGTTAGCTCAAATCCGTGTGATTTTATGGAGGACTGATGAAATGAAAGAAATATACTTCAGCAAACTTACTGTTGCGTGGGATTAAAACTAGAGCTCCCAAAAAAACACCAAGAACCAATGCCGCTACGATTATCATCATTATGTAGCTCACTGCTAAATCAGATTCACAGTAAATACTTTAAAAACAATCCAAGGATAAACAAACCAGAAATTTATGAGAGAAGAAGAAGAAGAACACAGTGGTTTATAGTGATTCCACCAATTTGATGTACATCCACTCTCCAATCAGCATCTCATGGTTTCAATAAGACATTGTGTAAGAATTACACCCTTCATCAAATTAAAAGAAAGGAAAAATCTGTTCGGGAACCAAGAAAATGCTCCAGAAAGCGGAAGTCCAGCAAAGATTCCCCAGATAAAGAGAGACGATCAGGGATTACCTGAACAAGTACCGATTTGATTTACAGATTGAGCAATGAGATTATCGACTGTTAAATACCAAAATGAAGTAGCCGGGGGAATACTTGGCAGAATCTGCAATCGGATTCTCAAATTTGCATTCATCTCCGGCATCGGGTACGGGTCACCCATGCTATACACCGGGTTTCGGGGAATCTAATTCAATGCGTTTAAAAAAAAAAAAAAACAAAAGAAAACTTGGGCTTGGACTGGACCTCAAGCTTTGGGCTTGAGGTTTGGTTACGGCAGGGGTCTGGTCTACTGTATCAGGCAGGGCTTTAGCAAAGGCTTGGGCTTGGACTTGACTTCAGATTGGGCTTGCGATTGGGAATGTTGGTTTCGGTTATGGATTGGACCTAGATTCCCCTTATGATTGGGCTTCATTTCAGCTTGGGCTGCTTTGGACTTGGGCTCCGACCTGGGCCTGCCTTAAACTCCGGTTGGGCTTGCACTTGACTTCAGATTGGGCTTGCGATTGGGAATGGTTTCGGTTATGGATTGGACATAAGATTCCGCTTATGATTGGGCTTCATTTCAGCTTGGGCTGTACTTTGGACTTGGTCTTCGGCCTGGGCCTGCGCTTAAACTCGGCTTGGGCTTGCACTTGATTTCAGATTGGGCTTCAGATTGGGAATGTTGGTTTCAGTTATGGATTGGACCTAAGATTCCGCTTATGATTGGGCTTCATATCAGCTTGGACTGTACTTTCGACTTGGGCTACAGCCTGGGCCTGCTCTTAAACTTGGCTTGGGCCTGAGCCTCCACTTCGGCTTGGGCCTGTTTTTCCAAATCGGCATGGGCCTAGGTTTCCGCTTCGGCTTGGGCTACGGTTTCATCTTGGGCCTTGGCTTCGGACGTTGGTTTCGGCTTGGGCTCCAGGTGGCTAATAATTTTGGAGCCGCCGGAGCTGCGTTCTTCTCATCTTCGTCGACGACGACGACGGCGACTCTCTGTAGTCTCCACTGCCATGGAGTGATTCATCCATGGAGGACGCGCGAAGTTGAGTATATACAAGGCCGTGAGGAACATAAAAGGCAGGGATAATACTCTCTACAACGCTCTTAGGTCAATTTACGAGGACTCTATTTTCGTCCGCGAGATCTCTCAGCTATGGCCGGAGCTTCCTCTTCTCACAAATCTACGTTGCGGCCTCTGGTATTCCCCAATGTTTCACTCCACTTGCTACTTTAAGTCCACCGACGGCCACACCAACAACTACTCTTTCAATACTTCCCGCCTCAATCTTCACGTCGCGCTTTTAGCTGGTACATCCTCTTTTCCCCTATCTGTTTATATTCCATTTTCCAAGTAATTAAGATAATGGAATCATGAAGAGGAAAATTGAGAGAGTATAATTTTCGGTAATTTTGCCAACATTGAATGTTTATAGTGAAGACTTCTAAATGCGCGTTTACAGTTCAGAAGTGTTTGTATGTATGATTCGCTTCTTTGTTTGATGGGTGGGACAGAAGGGAGGGTGTATTATAGTTGATTCCACTCAGAGAGGGAAGCTGTTTCCTTATAGCATGTCCAAAACAAAACAGTTCCCATTTTGACTTGTGTTTTGAATCGGTCTATAAGCAAACATTTAAACAAAATCCATGGCAGTTCATTGGTGCTAGGGGTGAGTATTTGCTATTTCATTTTTCCTAGCTACCATGTTACAGTCTATTATCCTGTGCAAGTTTACTCATGTCACAAAGCACAAAGGGAAGGTTTTTCTAATTTCTTGTACGTGCTTATAATTTCTTTGTAGTGGTAACTCCTAAATCCCCTCACCCCTTTTTCTCAGTCGGGTGTACGTCTGAAACTGAAAAATCGATGAAATTGATTGTAACAAGTTTGTTTGATCAGTTCAATTATCTCAATCTTGAACATTTGGATAGATTTTCCCGATTTCAGTCTGTTCAGTTCGGATTTAATTGGTTTGGTTCTTGGTTCGAGTTAAGTGGACAGTTTGGATTTCAAAAAATTGGTTTCTATGTCAGTTTTTTTTTTTTTTCTCCCTTAAATTGAAAACTGATCTAAACTAACCCACCTACATCCCTACCTCTCAAGGTGAAACTCAAGTGGCCAAATTCTCACATCTTCTGTGTGCAGTGTCGCTCGTAGCAGAAACAGGATCCCTCCACTTCTGATGTGCTTCTGAAAATGGAAGGGAACCTGCTGCTGATTGGGACTGTTCCTTGCATCTTCCTCTTTGGATTTCTGGCACTGAGAAAGCTGTGATTGAAGAACACCTTGAAGAATGGACAAAACAGTTAGATGATAGCGGAGCTGATGTGTCCACACTAGCATCCACCTAGAAAAAACCATTGCGCCCCTTACGGATTTCACAGAGATCCGTTATCTGGTTAAACGAAGTCCCTGATCATAATTCTTGGGATTTCACACCCATTATACTTGTTCCTGCTTCTTTCTCCACCGGTGTGGTTCAAGAGAGAACCACCACAGAGTTTAGCTGGAACTACATCGCTGGAGCCGGAGACAACGAGGAAAGTTGAGCAAGAGGCTTGTCTCCTAATCTATTCTGGAATCACGCACATGATCTTATGAGCTCCGGACTTGACCTTCGTGATCAGAAGGTAGCTGAAATAGTCGAAAAGGACAGAGTATATCGAGCTCCAAGGGGAAATGATGCGCCTCAGATCAGTGTTAAATCTCAGAAGGTGGGAGGATCCTCAACTCAAGTCCCACCTATTGAGCAAATATTATCTTTGGATATCTCTGATGCGGAGCTACATACAGAATCCTCTAATGGAAATTGTGCATCATCTTAGCTTGGTTCAACTAATCTTGCAGTAGGCTCATCTCAATGGTATTTACCTCCAATGTTGCTTGTATTGAGGATCAAAATTATTTACAGTAGATGGTTATTGGTTTTAATATCCTGAAGAATGCTCGCTCACTTTGTACATCAATCTCAGAAAAGAAGGTCGAAGGAAGAAAATATCCTGAGCCGAAATAATTGAAATGCTTAACCGTATGTTGAGATATAGAATACAATTTCAGTCATTATTCAAGAATAATGATCAACGATGGTTTGACGAGAACATGATTTCACTCGTCATTTTCCAAATTTATTCAAGAGATTCTTTGTAATATTATCCCACTGATCCTTTTTGGAATAGTTTACAGCATACTAATTCTCGGTGGTGCTCAAACTACCAGGATTGTTTTTGTAACTACAACCTATTATGATTTTAGACGATTGGAAAGATCTGCTTTTGCTTGTAACACATTGTTTTCTTATCCAAAAAATGATCCTTACTATATGTGCGAGTTATATCATGCCATATGGTACTATGGAAATATGAGTTCAGCAACAACTGTAGATGTGTGTTTTCTGTGGTTCAAGAATTGCATTATTGTCTCTTCACTTCAGTCATCCATTGTTTACTTTCTGTTTTTGTGTGTGCAGCAGTGACTGCGTCCGACGTCGTCGATGGCATGGTAAATTGTGATCAAGAGTCTGTATCTGTTTGCCTTCCAAATGCTGAAGCATATCTTCATCTACCTATGGTGGTGAGTACGGGAAAATAAAATTATAAGCCAATCTAAGTCTGCAGTATCTATTCAACTTATTTAATAGTTTCTGCTTGTCAGATGTCAAAACTGGATCGCTTTTCCCTGTCAAGAAATCTTTCTTCTGCAGTAGATTTTGCAAAGTTGAATCTTAGCCAAGGGAAAAGACTTCTAATTTGCTGTAGCAATGGTGAGAACACCATTTATTTAACAACAACTACAATAAATTCACATATTTTAGATGGAAATCTACTAAAGAAGGTGACAGAAGGGGAAAAATGTTAGTTTCTCATTGTCTTTTGAATAGTTGGGCTAATAGCTCTACGAAAGCTTTTTGCTGACACTTGTGAAACTTTTGCTAAGAGGTCTCTGTATTATTTACTTGCAGGGGAAGATATTAGCATATGTGTTTGCTTGGCGATGTTGACTTTATTCGATGACAAAGGTACATCAGCTGAATTTTTTTTATTTATTTTTATTTTTTGTTATCAAATATACCCACAATGTCACAACCGCAACACTAAATAAGAAGTTATGTTCAGCAAAACCTTTTTTTCTTTTTTTTTGTACAATTTCATTAGTCATTAAATTAGTTCTCATGTTAAAAAATAGAAAATAAGAAACGAAAAAGTTATAAAATGGGGCTTTAATATTATTACTCTTGGCAACCAAACCGAACTGTGAATACCCTATTGCTTGTTTTAGAATATAGTATTATGATTATGAAGGTGGAGACCCGAAGCTTCAACCGTTGAATCAGTGAAAACCTCATTTTTCCAATAATATTTGTCAACCCCTTTTGTGTAGCCGGGGTTTTGTCCTTGATAAAAGTTGTTTTTTTTTTTGCCCTTTGAAAGAAATAAAAAGGAGCAGAACCCAGAGAAACAAGAAACAACTGTTTTTATTTACTTAATGAAAAATTGAGTATACGCTTCACTTCACTTCACTTGGGACGATCAGCTCTCTCCGAAGGCCCAGCTTGTCGCAGCATCTGATTATGTAATAAGATCATAAGAATATTACAAGATGCTATTATATAAAATATACACATTAATTTGAGCTTAGTCAGCAATTAAGACATCTAATATACACATGAAGAGAGAGACCTGGAAGTAGGGCTCAAGTTTGCTGCGTAAGATGTTATGCTCGTTTTTTACTCGTTCCATAGCAGCCTTGACCCTATCATCAAATATGAATTTGTTTGGATGACTTTCGACCCCAAAAATTTGCTCGGACGCGAACAAAAGTCACATACATGACTCGATGTAGATATGTCAACATATTATTTCTAAAAACCTTAGGACACAGACATGACAACGACATGTTAATTAAAACATAGCGTTTTTAACAAATATATAGCATTGCTTAAAATAATAGATTTCCATATATTTTATTTTCAAAATTTATTATTTTGTCCTGTATGTCCATTTATTATGTTTAAGAAAGTGTATGAGACATGCCTATTGTGCTAACAATCGTCCAACACATGTTAGTCACCGACATGTTATCGAAAGTAAAACCTCTATTTTCAGAGTTCGACCCTTTGAAGAGATTTTGTGGGGTTTGTATGCATTGGTTAATGGAGTTAGAGCTCAAAGTTTCTTCCTAATCGAGAGTTACAACAGAGCATATTTTAATTCTACTCCATTTGACATTCACATCAGTTAGAAGGTAAAAACGATGTCCAATTTAAAATTTAAAAAAAAATGAAGGGTAAAATGTAATATTACCCCTCCATGTTTCTCTCTCTGCAGCATTCAATTGCATGATTTACTTCCTTGCACACCTTAATGGCACCAATACTGCAAAAATCAGCACCAATTGAATGGTTAATCTGTATCCAGGAGGAATAATTGAGAAAAAAAAAAAAAAAAAAAAAAAAAAATACTTGAAGCAGTTGTCATTCAAGTTACAAATCTTGGCCAAAGAACAGAGAAATGGGCAATCTACCTTTACAATTGGAATAAACAGTAAAAATTAGAATTTCAATTCTGTTTCATCTAAACTCACTAGACAATTATCTGACCCGAAGTATATGGTAGCCACTATGGTTTGAGCTTTGAACTCGTTGTCTCTAAACTTTTTCTCTATTTTGTTTATCACAATGACCATATGGCTTGGCCAACCTATAGTCCATGGGGGTTCTCTTGTTCTTCAACTAAGAACCGTTTTCAAACTTTCTATAGAAAAGATTACTGATACTTTAACCAGAAACATCCTATTAAAAAGTCAAAAAAAAGAAGAAAAAGAAAACCTGGCACTGCTTCCCTTGAGCTTATAAATTGGTCTTTCGAGATTCATGAGATTGCAGAAAGGCTTCTCTCTGTAAGCAAGAAAGCTGATATTAGTATTTTTATGTTCATGACAATATTATGAATAAATTATGCAAAAAAAAAAAAAAAAGTCATCTTATTTTATGATGTGTTACAGTGCTTGATCTAGAATAGCTATAGCCTCGGATGATTCTCTGAAATACGAAGTCAGAACCTTCTCCAGAAAGTGTGGATTATCATCATCTAATTTCTCAACCTGGACAAAGTGTTCACCCAGAATTTCCTACAACAATATTCAATAATATTTGTTGATTATTTGAATAAAGATGGAAGGCAATTTTCCAGATAAAATACGTGTGGGAAACACTTTTTGGAAATGGAAATCATTAATATGTATGGATCTTTAAAATCATCACAGGATTTTGTATGATTCTTGCTCTAAAATTTCTACCAAAGTACACCAAAGTATCGTTTGGTAACGCTTCAATTTATCATTTTTGTCTTCAATTTTTGGATTTCGGTAAATATTCTTCTCGCTTTCACATTCCAGAAACATTTCCAAATGGTATACAAAATTTAGAATCTATTCCGAGTTTTCAAAAACATTAAAAAAAAAGAAGAAAGGATACATGTTTTATTATCATTTTTTATCAATAGATGCACAATAAATAAAATTTAATAATTTAAATTTTAAAAAATTAATTTTCATATGACTTTGATTTTTTTAAAATTTAAAAGTTAGCGAGGAGTAGATACAAGAAACGAGTTTCTTTTAACTTTTTTCTTCTTAGAAAACAAGTAACTTTACCAAACGAGCATTGAACATATAGCGTAAATCTTCCTAGCAAAGAATGTGAATCTTGATTGAGCTGTTATCGGGAGAAAAATGGCAAAACAAGAAGCTAGCGATGGATGAAAGTCGAAGAAAAGCTTGTATTGACAACATTAAGGCTGTCTCAGAGGCAAACCATCAAGTTTTATGTATGAGATCAGATGTTTAAAAATAAAAGACAACTTCAAAAGAGAGCTACCATATTACCAAAACCAACGGTACGGTATTTCAAAATGAAACAAAAGAGACCAATTTACCTCATCGAAGAATGACTGTCTCATGGTCGCAATCTGTTGGTGCAGAGAAGTTTTCGTCATGGAGTCAAAATGGTAAACTCTGCAACACTACACAGAGAGAGAAAATTGTATGCTTCACTCGAATTGCATTCCAAGATATATAGCCAGCCAAAGAAAGTATGTTTAAGGAAGGTTTAAAAATCACATTTTTGTCCTCTACTTTTCTTAATTCCCCAACTTTCTTTTTTCTTTTTATAATCAGAAGTCGGAGCTTTGCTCTCCTACGTTCAAAAGTACCCGCACCCGCCCCAAGGTCTAAATTCGAGAGACATCAAAGGTCTTTGGTATTAAACTCACTAAAAGGTTCGAACTTGAAAATTTTAAATAAGTATGATTAAGAGACCACAAGTCCTTACCAACTGGACTGTCACTTGAAACTAATTAATCCCTCAATTTAATCACTATAATTTAGACTTTGTAATGATTTAGTCTTACCATGAAAAATTGTAGATTAAAAACATATATGGTCTTAAAATTTGTCATGATAGGATATACAAACTTACAACTTTTAAACTATTGAGAATAAATCGTTTCATATTTTAGTCCAAGACTCGTCGTTACAAAATTTTAACTACAATTAACAACAAAATCGTTATTTCAACAAAACAAAAGTAAAAGGAATGACGAAAAATGGGTAACAATATCTGAAAAAAAATTAGGAAAAAAGTAGAGATATTTCTGAATGGCAGTAATCATCACAGGAATGACAAGTTGCAGTCATGCAATTCTATAAAATGAATAGTAACAAAAAATTTACACGAGAATCATTCCTGTACTAGTATAACTTGAAGAGTAAAATCCAATCTATCTTTCAGTGAAAAATTAAATTTTTTCGTAGAAAGGATCACAAATTCATATCTTACCAGATCTTGTAATAAATGAACCCAGATTCCAGTATTTTCAGTTTCATTTATGACCCTGTTGTATAGACAATTTGAAGATCTAGAAATCTATAGCAAATTAATATTAGTAGATTTCTTGAGTGAATGATTCTCCCGCCACCGCGAGTACTTCCACCACTATGTTATTACTAAAATAGACAATTCCACTATTCGTGTGAAATTACCAAAAAGAAAAATAAAATATAAGGTGAACCAAACCCAATGGAAGGGAGGTTTCAAAAAAGTCCTCCAATTCTCTTCCACAGCTGGATAATGCATATATATCTGATAATAAAAAAATTGCACTTATTGAACTAAAAAAACCTTCTCCAAAGCAAAGTGTATTTATTGGAATATTAACGGCAAATTATACCTTCACTTTGTATTATAGATATCACAATATCAATTTGAGCATAGCTCGGTAAATAAAGTACATATTATCTTCTTTATGAAGGTTTGATTCTCCATCCTATAAGAAACCATCCCAATACATAAATATTTTATATTTTCATGAGTTTGTAAGACAAATTTTCCTTCATTAGAAAAAATTTGAGAGAAAACTGATCAAAAGTGAAAAAAAAAAAGTCACTTAAAGGTGAACCCTTTCTTTCATTAGAAAAAATAGAAAAAATATGGTAGCAAATATAAATGAAGTGGACCAACATAAGAAAGTACACTCGCTGTCATTTAATTTTTACACATTATTGTTATTCACAAGGAAAACAATAGTAAATAATAATTAGAGAAGGAACAGAGAAAGGGAGAACATAAAACTAGTAATGTGAAAGAGAAGAAGAAGGAAAAAACCAAGGCAGAAGCTGGCATGTGAGGTTCGAGTAGAAAGAAGGAGTATATAAATAAACCGATACCACATCCAAATGAGAGGGATATGGAGATCATGGAATTGAAGCATGGTTAAAAAAGACGTAAAAGAATGGATAGGTACTATCTATATTAATAAAATACATCTTTCTTTTCAGTGGCTCAATAATAAGAATTTAAAAGTTAAAGCGTGGCGTTACAATCTAAGACATAATTATCATGCCAAAAGTAGAAGGATTTTGGATTCATAGGAATATATTTTCCTCGTTCTTAAAATAGACTAAGTCCAGCATACCATGTAATTCAACCAGGGATATTGTTATATTCATTCAAGGATTTTGGTAACCAATCATTTGAATGTCTTTAAGCTAGCTAGAGCACAGATTTTTGCCCACATGAAAACCCGTCTGCATGATTTCAATAACTATCTTGCAGACTGCCGTCGGTCTCAGTTCCGGCTTACCGCTCACCCATCTGTCGCCGTCGCACCGCCGCATCTTCTTAGCTGCTCGGAGATTTTTCTTTTTCATTTCAATGCTTCCTTTTGGGGGGGAATTTGTTTTCGAGAAATTGTATTTTCAATGATTTTCAAAAAAAAAAAACAATGATATAAATGAAAATTTGCACATAAATTGTAAAAGAAAAAATATGTAAGCGTTTTTCTCTTTTTTTTTTCTTTAGTGAGAAAATAATTTTAAACAATTGAAATACTAAAATAAAGTTTTATTAAAAAAGGGTTGAGCATTCAAGGTATTAGATAATAAAAGAATAAGTTGATGTCCCTTTTTTCATTGAAGATGGAGGACTAAATTTAAATTTTATTAAAATTTAGAAAAAGATTTTTGACCTTAAGGATTAAATTATAAATAGAGGTTGGTTTTAAGGATTAAGATTATATTTTTGATTTTTGACCTTAAGGATTAAATTATAAATAGAGGTTGGTTTTAAGGATTAAGATTATATTTTTATAATGTAGATATATCTAATATTTTATAGGGATTTGAGTTTTTGATTATAGAATTCGAACCAGTAGTAATGTGATTTATTGGGGTGAATATAGAGCGGCATGTGAATATAAAGCGTCATGTGGCATATCAGAGAGAAACATGTGAAGTTCGCATGTACAATAAGAGGAGAGTGTCAAGCACACTGAATGGTATTGCAAGAGCACGGATAGGTTTGTAAAAACAGTTACAAAGCTACTTGACATTGACAAGTTGTCGTAGCGTAGGCATAGAATATATTCGACATAGCACCACACACCAATACTAGATTTCTATATGCATGTCAAGCTCATACTAAGAGACAAAGGCATATGTGGTACTGATATAACACATGTTCAACACTTTGTTGGGGTTGCAAAATATTCCAACAAAATCTCACATTAGTTAGGAAAGAAAGTGATCTATCGTATATAGATGAAGACAATTATGTCTATATCGGTATCAAGTATTTTGGGTGAAACAAAAAACAAAGTCATTGTTGGAGGTAGATTTCAACTCACACGTGGCACATCTTGATTGGATAATAGAAGTTACACGTCGTACTAACTATTTTTTGGAAAGTTTGAGGCACCGGACCCGTTGGTAATCTAAACATTATTGTGTGTTTAATTATTTTGCTAACTCTTATAATTAGTAGTTTAATCAAGGCTTGGAGACTAATTTGGTTCAAAGTTGAAATTTTGTAATGGTTGTTAATATTAAATTGTCGATTCTTTGATTTATTTTCTTAAATTATAATCTTTTTGTTTAATTTGTATGACTTTTCACTAAACATTTATATTTTCATTAGTTTTATTGAAATAGTTTAAATAATGAAAGCATGTAAGATGCTTATTTTTGTGTTCAAAGATCGCTGCTTGGCCTTTTATCTCTAAGAAAAATTAATTTTATTTTTCAAGATATGTGGTCATTGTTTGACTATTGTTTTGGATTAAATTATTTAATTTAGTTCATTATTTCTTTTAGTGTCTAAATTTTATAAGTTTTCTCGACAAGTCTGTGAGATATAGAGTAGTACAGATTTGTCATATTGATAGAATTTGTTCACGTAAATGTAGAGTATGAAGGATTTTTTGAACCGATTTTATATCTCATATTTGAAGAGTACATAATTCAAGAATCTATGGTGGTGTTTTCGTCCAACTTTAATTATTTTACATTTTGCTCAAAATAATGTTTATACGAATGACTACCATTTGGTAGAATAGCGTTCGTTCTAGATCCCAAATTTTGATAGGATTTTTTCTTTTCTAGTTTATGATGTATGTTGTGTTTTTTTGTATTTCTTTATCTGTTGTCAATATGATGTTACCTTTTTGTTCATATTCCAGGTGCAACATTTTTTGCAAGTCTCTTTATTACTTTAGGGCATTAATCTCAGACTCTGAGATCGAACATTTTTTACTTACAATATATCTAACTTTTTCTAAAACGCAAAAATATATATATATATATATATATATATATTTAATAAATTTTATAAAGTATCAGTTACATTTATTTTATTTTCTAAAATTATATTTGTGCATATTTTTTTGCCATTAATTTAACAAAAAACACTTACTTGACATACTAATTATTGGGCTAAGTTGGTGCAAATTGAATAAATTTTGCTAAAAGCATCAATTCAACCAAAATTTATTTAGTGTTGCGTTAATAACAAAAATTAAGTAAAACCAAAATGTTTATGGACGTAATTAGAACTTTTTAAAACTTAGGTTTATTAGATTTATAGTTTACTATTAAAAAAAACTAAGGAACGGACATAAAACTCCTTAAACATCCAGATTAAAATTAAAATAAATTAGTAAGTAATATAATCTTTTAACATCATGGACGAAACTATTTGCTCGCCAGGTTATTTTCTATCTTTTTTAGAGTGTTTAGTCAAGATAAAATCAGATGAAATTAAACTTAAAATAATGAGCATCTTTTGTTGTCAGCCTAAAACAAAAGATTAATTCAAAAGAAACAAAAAACAATCAAAGGAAATATTCTTTAAAAGTATATATAAATAATTTAGCTAAGTCTAATAATCCAATGGCATATCCCATCCATATCAATTTGACATAGTCATGTAGCAGTATCCAATAATTCAAGTTGTCCAACCATTTTGTTTAATCAAGAAAATAAAATCTGATGACAAAATCAAAGGCAATTTTTTAAAGCTTAATTTTTATGTTAAAATTGTATGGTCTCTACAATTTCATTTTATAAACATTACTTTACAAATGAGAGGGTCGTATTCAAAATTCAAATTATGTTCAATTTTCTTTTTTTTTAGCATAAAATATTTTACGTGGAAGTAGAAATTCAAATCTACGACTTTTTTTATTGATGATATATGTCTTAATCGATTGAGTT